AAAGGGCCACGTTTGAGAACATGGGGACCCAGGGACGAGCTGGCTTAAAAGCAGGAAAAATCACTATTGACCTTAGGTGGAGGGATTTCACAAAGCTACAAACGGCCTTCTCTCGTTCTCCCAAATCAAACCACAAGATGTTTGAGTGTGAAGGAAGCTTAATATTCATCTTTTAATGCTTCTCAAATAATCACAAGCAATACGATCAATTTGTGGGTCAAAGCCAGAACAGGTTTTTTTTGTTGTTTTTTGTTTTTTTAATGAACAGAAGTGTTTTCCATGGAGTAAGGAAGCATCTTGTCATTGTTCTGTGTAACCTATAAGTATATACACACTGGGTAGTGGTGTGAAACATAGTTTCATGTTAGGATCAGAGTTGGAAAGCCACCCATCTAATTCAATACTCCCATTTTAGAGCAGAGGAAACAGAGGCCCCAAGAAGCCAGCAGCTTGTCCAAGTTAGTTAACAGCAAAACTGAGAACAGCACACAAGTCTCTAATAGTCCTCTGCTAATTTCCTCCCCAAACCGGAATCTCCACACACAAACATCTCTGGGAAAGACAGCTGTGACTTTAATCCACATTAGGGTAAGTGATAGTGGAGTAAGTAAGCTGATCTTGTAGATCTGCTGCCTAGAGCGAGTTCTGGTAAAGAAGATAGGTGAGCACACCAGGGCAGCTGAGGGACTGACACAAAATAGATCGGAGCAGAAACACAGGGGTTGCAGGGTGCGGCTCAGTGGGCACAAGCCAGGGCCTGATGTGGCAGAACAAAGATATTTTATCTTGTTTACATACTTTGTATGGACAAATATCATCAGGACAACTGGTTCTATGGAAGGAGGCTGTTTTCCTGTCCGGGCAGGTGGCCCAGGGCCATGGGTGCTTTGCTCATCTTGTTTCAACCAATTTTATTAAATGACAAGTTCTGAATAACAGATGCCTTCGCAATTCTCCATCCCTGCCAGACTCCATCTCTCTAATGAAAACATCATTGTTGGGTATTTATCATTTGTACAATTGTATTTCAAGGTAACAGAAGATTACAGATTCCAAGTCAGGTCCCTGTTTCTCTGTATTTGTGAGAAGAAGGCAGTGGTGATGGGGGAACTGATGGTGTGTACTTCCTGAGAGACCAGACAACTAACAAGTGCAGGGGGTGGGCAGGTCAAAATGGGGTGGGGAGGCACGGTAGCACCCATCTAGAAGGGAGTAGCCCCCTCTGGACTCCAGAGTAATGAGCCTCTTCTTCCTGTCATAATTCAGGCCAAACAACTGGGGCAAGTTCATTCGACCAGGGCTCATCACCACTCAGCAATAAGCTCTGTGCTCCTCTCCCAAGCAACTACACCAAGGTAGAGAGGACAGGTACAGTGCTGAGATGTCTGAGGAGTATCCTATGTATACAATACCCATAAAGGGTCACCCACAGCCCCAAGTTTCTTATTTCAATGGGGTATCATTAATTTGGACTGAAGCTCCGGGATGACCAGTCCCCATAGTTCAGGTAGGTGCCTGTATTGCAAATACAAAAGACTGTGAAGTCTAGAGGAAGTCACCTTGAAAGGCTGGGGGTGCAGCCCGGCCAAGACAGGGAACTGGGTCTGCAGCCCACTGCTCTTAAGTACAGGTCGGAGCTGTGGACCCCGGAGCTGGGACTCCTCCCCTTAGATTTATCTCCTCCTCCCCCTGGTCTGGCCAATCTTACTTCTATTCCCTCTGCTCATTAGCTCAAGCACCAGAGGCTAGAGATAGAAAGGGCTCTGAAACTCAAAGCCACTTTGTTGCTGGTATGTTCCCCAGGAAACATGCATGGTGGGAGAGCAGCAGAGCAGAACCAGAGACTGCAGGATTATCTGTGGCTTTCCATGATCTGTGTTCTGAGGGTCTGATGTCAGCCATGGAGGACACAGCTGCTGCACTTTCTGCAGGCCCCAAAGCCCTAAGAAGCCATGTGAAATTTAAGAGTAACCATTTAAGTACAAGATATGCAAAAACCTTCTGAAATACTCGGGAGTATGCAAGCTGAGGAATTTTAGTTGGTTACACAAAATTACTTCTAGATATAAGTGGCGCTCAGTTCTAAAATGGTAACAAGGCCGATTTCCACTAGGCATCAACTAGTTAAAGGGCACACAAAAAAGAACTTGGAAAGACTCCTAACGTACCACCCAAATGAATGGCTTGCCACATTTTAATAAAAAAATTAAAGAATTAAAACACACACACACACAAAACAATAAAAAAACCTAGATCCCGAACCCACCACCCCACAAACAAGGATCACCAAGCTTTCTCTATAAAAGGCGAGACAATAAACTTTATCTAGAGACAAAACTAACAATACTACATAGGCACTTTTATAATGACAAAAAACAAAATTTCCACAATTATTTTATTGACAAAATTCAAGATCTATAATGAATACAATTTGGGGAGCACCTGGGTAGCTCAGTCGTTAAACGTCTGCCTTCGGCTCAGGTCATGAAACCCGGGTCCTGGGATCCAGCCCCGCATTGGGCTCCCTGCTCAGTGGGAAGTCTGCTTTTCCCTCTCCCACTCCCCTTGTGTTCCCTCTCTCGCTGTCTTTATTTCAAATAAATAAAATCTTAAAAAAAAAAAAAAAAGAATACAATTTGGGGTGGTGGAAGGGTTATAACTACCTAACAAGACAAATGGAATTCTTTTGGGGGGATAACATTTCACTTAACTGAGATTCAAAGTTAAGTGTTCTAGATCATCAAATTGATTGCAATGTTTCTATGTACAGATTATTCTTAGTTCATGATACAGAAACAGGCAGCTTACCCTGAATTTGACGACCCTTGTGGGATCTGCATTTTACACACTCCCCTGGTGATTCTGATGAGGAGCCATGTTTGGGACCTAATGGACTATACAACACTCCAAGTCCCTACTCTCCAAGGAAAGGGGCCCCTAGCTTAATGGTGGGATGAGAACTCAACTCTGCAGCCTACTGTGACCACCCTCGCAGCATGGAGGATGTCAGCCAGCTCTGCCGACCCCTAATGAGTTGTTAAGGAGAATTAAAGGAGATGATCCGTGAGCTGTTATTATTATACTACATCTTAGGTACAGAGGCCATGCCAATTCTCTTCAGTTTTCTGGCTGTAGACGATGACAAACAGAAATGGGAAATGCATTACATGCAAAATCCCACACAAACCACTGCCGAAGAGTCTTCTCCTTACCCACAATGTATCCCCCAACACCTAAAAGGACAGACTTATTTCAGAGTAAACAGATGTGATGTTCTAAACCAAACTCAGAAAGTGTACGGCTTCCCCTCTATCAGAGCCCCCGGTCCTGACCATCCATCTCAGTATCTTCAACCAGAAGGCCATCCCGGGTTCATGTTGGCACCTTCAATGACAGGAAACTCAATCTCTCTTATGGGGGCACTGTTTTAAAGGCAGAGAAGAAAAAGCTCTTCCTCTCAATGTCTGACCAAAAAGGGTACTTCACAGGAGAGAGAACGGAGACTAAGAGTTCTGATAAGTTCTCTATGCCTCAGTTTCCCTATGTGTAATGTGAGAATAATAATAGTACCTACCTCACAGTGCTGGTGTGTGGACTAGATTAACTGATCTGTCTAATCCACTTAGAACTCTGCCAGGCACAGCGTGGGGCTGTGTGAGCATTCACTGTTATTACTGTTGTTGTCCAGAGCCAGAGAGAAGCTCAAAGTGTGTGCCTTGTGGCATCCGAGTTCTCTCTCCAGTAACTATCACATACTGAGTACCGGAGGGCCAGATCGTTACTCATTAAACCGGATCACCATTCCCCTTTTACAGGTGAGGAACTAAAGTTCAAAGAGGAGGTTAACTTATCCTACCTCTTTGTAGTAGTCAGAATTCCAACTCAGGTCCCTGGGAGCTCCAAAACCCAGCTTCGCCATGGAGCCCCCAGACTCAAAACTACCACGAGCAGCAATCCACTAACAAAACAACCGACCATGACCATACTGAGCTGGAGCTCAGTTTTCTGCCTGGGGATCCCTGGTTGGCTTGCATAAACTGGAGTTAATATCAGGCTACATGAACCCAATTAGGCAGTAAGTCAGTCTGGAAAACATCATGCGACGTATTCCAAAGGTCAAAGTTAAAACCTGGCTTCCTGGGCAGCCTTTGCCGGGCACTGCCATCAAAGCCAGTCTCGTGAAGACACCAGACTTTAACCAGTGAGGTGCTTAACCAGCACTGACATCGGCTCTTTAAAAAGTCCCGGAGAGAAGCCAGAGACGTGACGCAGAAACGCGGCCGGGAGAAAGACATCACTTACTTTTTTAAAAAAGCAAACCTTATTCCTTATTCCCTTCTCTTTTCGGTTTAGGGTTACGTTCACTACCATAACCTGCCTTCCCCAAAGCAAAAAATAAAAGGGGGAGGGGCAGAGGAAGATGGGGGGGGGCGCTCCCCTAGCTGCAGGACGCTGCAACACCCACCTGAAATCCGGAGCGCGACCTACCTTCCCGGAGAGCCCAGCCCCGGAGGGCGTTTCCCCCAACACACCGACAACTCGTCCCTCCCGGGTAAGCGGCTGCTGTCCTTGGCTCCAGTTAGGGCCGCTAGAGTCGCGCGCGCGCCCCCCCTCCCGAAAAAGAAACCTCATGTTTAATTTCTCCCCCAACCTTCCTATCAGTTCCTCCGAAGGAGCAAAGACCGGGGCGACTAGTACGTCTTTAGGGCCACATTTAACTACGACTAAAACGCCAGCGGGAGGAAGGGCGAAACACTGGCGAGGAAAGGGGCGGGGGGAGACAGGGAGCGCGACGGGGGGTGGCGGGGGAGCACTTGCGGGGAGGATCGTCGCCCTCCCGGGGCGACCGCCGCTGCGACGCTCCAGCAGAGCCTCAGGCCGTTGTCGCAGGGAGGGAGACCCCCTCAGGGCCCAGAGCACAAGCGGGGGTCTCCGGAGCCGGCTTCCCCTGCTGCCTCCACGTCCGGGGCCGTCGGGGCGATGGCGCAAGACTCTGCACCCCCCCCACCCCCAGCGACAACAGCCACGGTGACAAAATGGCAGCCCGGCGCCCGGCAGTCGTGCCACAGGCGAGCAGGGCCCCGGCGGCCGCCCCTGCCCCCCAATAACGCCTCGGCGCCCTTCGGGCTCGGCCTCCGGCGGGCCTGGCCTTCATGAAAATAATAACAAAACACCTCGAGCTCCGAAGCAGCTGAGGAAGCCAGGAGGCCCGCCCGCGGTCGGCCGGGCGCGCCCGTGCCCGGCCCGCGCGCGCGAGGCCCGGCCACCCAGGCGCCAGCCCGCCCGCCCGCCGGCCCGCGCCCCGCGCCGCATGGAGCCCGGCGCCCGCACTCGCAGCCCCGCGCTCGGCGCCGGCCGCGCCATGGGGGAGGGGCGGGGCGGGCCGCGCGAGACCCGGGAAACATGGCTGCTCGTCCTATTTCGGCGTCGCGGCGTGGCCACCAGCCCCCGGATCCGAGTTGGGAGAGGCTCCGAAGGTGGGTGTGAGGGGGCCCGGGGTGGGGGGGGGAGCGCAGCGGGGAGGGGCGCAGGGGGCGCTCTCCGAGAGCTATTTGTCTTAAGAACGGTTAAAAAAAATAGTTCCTCCTCCCCCACCCCTTTTGTCCCTCATTAGCTAGCTTTCTCTCTCCCCCCTCCACCCCAAATGTGCCGAAAGTGCCCCCCTCCATCCCCTCCCGCGCCCCACCCCGCCTCGAGGCAGGGGGCAGGCGAGTGGGCTGGGAGGCTCGGAGGCGAGGGGGCGAAGCGTGAGAAATCGCTCCCAGTTCGGCGCGGCGCGCTCCCCTCCCCCAGCACACACTCGGGGAAGTTTAAAGAGCCGGTTCGACCCGCTTTCGATCTCGCTCCCAGTTGGCCAGCCGGGTGGCTGGGGTTGGCGGTGCGAACCGCGCCTCCACACCCACCCGCCACGACCCCGGCCCCCTACTGCGTGCCCTTCCCCCTCCGCACGGGGGGGCTTCCGGAAAGTACGCGGGAAGACCGCGGCTCCGGCCCCCTCCCCCATCACCACACCCAGCCCCCAAATCCTCTGGCTCGGGGTCTAAACCGGGATGAAACCGGACAGAGAAAGGCAGACCGCCGGCAAATTGTTCGCGGAAACTCCTTGCCTTCTCGGCGGGCACCCCCTCCCCTCGCTCCGCCACCCCCTCCCCGCCCTGCGCGCCATAAGGCACTGCACGTCTACAGTCCACAGCTGCGTTATGATGGGGGGGGGGGACCACAAAAAGGATCTTGTTTTCAAAAGTCTCACTCAGGTTTGGGGGAGGAACTAGAGAAAAGAGGAAGCAAGGCCTGCCTTCGCCAGGGATTCGGTTTTTAACGGGCTGAAGGGGCGACAGGTCAGCGCACAGCGCTCCCCAAACTCCCAACTCTGGAACCCTGGCCACCGAGGCTGAAGGAGAGGTCCTCCTGCCCGCGCCGCCCTGGTCTCCGGAGAGGAGCCGGCCAGGGTCTCCGCCCCACAGCCGCCAACTCGCATTAAACACTGTTTGAAAGCGAGAGGGAGACAGAAATACAAACGAGCGTTCGAGTAACCCACCCTCACCTTCCCCCTCCTTGGGGGTGGGCTTTCGCCCGAGCCTCCCAGTTCCCATCCGTGTAAGTTTCCTCCGGCCGTACTCCCGCCGCTGCCCAATCAATAACGGCGTCCAGAAGGCAAACTCCCATCCCGGAGCTGCGTGTTTCCTATGCCCGCATAAATCTGGACCCAGCCAGTACCCACCACGGGCACCAGGTCTGGGCAGCTCGCGTCCTGACAAAGTTTCCCGTGCCCATGTATGAACCCGGCGCCGAATGGCTGCCGAGGAGCCCACCCTGGAGAAAGACTGGCCGGGGGGGGGGCGTAAGGGCTTAAAGGTTGGCATCTTAGCGAGGCCGGAAGGAGCAGGGGTGAGGGGGGACCGGGACATAGCCTTTGGGTAACTTGCAATAGCGATCGCTCGAGGTGGGGAGGCGCGGGGATTATCTGTGCCTTTGCACGTTCGAAAATCCCTCCCCCCCTTCCAATTTATCTCCCTTCGCAAGGAAAGGAAGAAACATCAGCATCTGGCCCGAAGGTGGGGTGGAAAGAGTGAGGGAGAAAGAGGAGGAGAGGAAGGGAGGCAGAGAAAGGGAGGGAGGGAGAGAAAGGGCGCGTTCACGAACACTACAAAGTTACAAATATGGCTCCCCCCGTCTCTCGCCTCATCACTGCAAAGAAATGAAGACGCACTTTAAACTCGAGCCATTCCCAACTCCACTGCAGCCCCCTCCCCACGCGCTCTCCCCGGGGGCCTCGGCCCACATTTATCAGAAACTAAACCGGACTCGCGAAGCCCAAAAGTTATTGTGTGTGTGCGAGCGAGTGAGAGAGAGAGAGAGAGAAAGGGAGGGGGGAGGCGCCGGAGGGGGGCGGAAGGGGGGATTCATTTATAAAATATAAAACCCCCTTTTTTTTTGTTGTTAAATCCAGGAGGCAGCCCCCCTCCTCCTCCCTCGTTAATCTTCCCCCCAGACGGAGTCAAGGGAGCAGCGAGCTCAGATGGTTATTTTGCCTCATTCTCTCCGACCCAAACGCGTGCGCCCGCTGGCCCCCGGTGGGTGCACACTCGCACGCACACTCTCGCACCCACACTCGCACACGCGGGAGCACACGCACAGGTAGTCACACACCAAGGGCAGCGGCGGCGGCAGCCGGAACATGCTCGGATGGCATTGCAACCCCCCAACCTTGCAATTCATTTGCAGTCCGACCCCCAAACCCACACCTCCCGGGCGCCCCCCCCTCAAAAAAAAGTGCCTCCCCCCAACGCACACACACACAAAGTAGGAGAATGGACCGACAGAGATATTTTTGGCAAATGCTCACATCAGAGGGCGTCCTGTTCCGCAGCTCTAAATGAATCCGTTTGTCCATGTCCATCTCTCGCGCTCTCTCTCTGCAGAGGCTCCCGCGCCGGCGGAATTCAATCAATAAACCCCGAACCCACGGCCGCGCGTTTTAGGACTTTGAAGGCTCAACCAGCTCCGCTCGGTTCTCGAGCCCCCAGCACCCGCGGCGCACACTAACCTGATCACGGAGGAGGCGGGACCTGCGGTCCGGCGGATGAGCGGCAACAGCTGAAGCCAATCGCTGCCGAGGGTCTCCGGGCAACAGCCAATGGTGGCGGCGGCGGGGGGGGAAGGGACCAATGGGCGGGCTGCGCAGCCGGCCAGGGAGGCTCAGCCATTTGGTTGTGGTGCCGGAGACGGACCCCTTTAGATTTCGGGGCGGCTGAGGAGCGCGGCGGCTGCTTGGTGGCTGAGCTAGGGGGGTGGGCAGAATGGCGGGGGAAGGGAAGGTGATTGCGCCTGGAGGGCCGAGCCGCTCGGCCTCGCCAGCCCGCCGCAGCCTCAGCGTTTGGCCGGGGGCGGGGCCGCAGGTGCGTTACTCGAGGGGGAGGGGCGCGGCCGGAGGGGTCGGGGTCGGGGGACCTCGCCCGACCGAGGGTTTCGTGGAGCCGCCCTGGGCCTGCCCGCGTCGCTGGACCGGGTTGGCTAAAGAGGTGGACGGCGCGAGGTCCGGGGCTGCCCGGCGGGCGACCGGGTGGATGAAAGGCCTGGAAAGAGGGGGAGGGGTCAAGGGTGCAGTGGGGGGAGGGCCTGGTCATTTTCGGGTCCGGCGGGCAGAGCTGGTAGAGCGTGGCTGCTGCCCTCCACTTCTGTGGGTACCCACCCCGGGGCTGCGGCTCACTGCCCGCGCGCCCCTTCGCCTTGTCCTCGTCCAGCCGCGGCCATCGCCGCCCCCCTAATAAACAAATAAATGAAAGCAAGATGCGTCCACCTTTGGATGACTTTCCTCGCGGTTCTTGACCCTCTCCACGGAGGGGCATTTCAGTTTGCAGTCATATCAGGTCAGCCTGGAAGGAGCGATCACCAGGAGGCATCCAGGATCTTGTTCAGTCATTAAATGAATGAAGACCATGGATTAAGGATTGTTGCTGAATATATTGAATATTAAAAAGTGAAAACGGAAGGTGCTAATAACTCCTGGTTTTCTGGACCAAACATAATTTATGGGCTTTGTAGACCTAGTGAAAGAAAACGGCGCACGGTTTATTCTAATCGTCCACCTGAATCATTTGGTTCAATTTGGGTTGCCAAAGAGTCTCTATTTGGAGCACTTTCTCCAGGTTTTACGGTTTGCTTGCTTTGGGTTTTGGGTTTTTTGTTTTCATCACATTAGTTGTAAGACCTAAAAGTCTTTACTCCCACTGGGTTACCCACTTCTTATGGCCAGGCCTTGGACCTTGTCATTCACTAATCTCGCTGCCTGTGGCTGTTAATAAATCGTGGGGATTGTTGTCAACAAGGACAGATACATCTTTACGCTTCCACACAGCTGTTTTTCAGTGCTTATAGTTTTACAGGTCTACACTCTTCCTTATACACTCCATGGTGGTTTTGGTGGGGGGATACACTGTGTTTATTTTTTAGGCACATGGGTTCAAGGGAGAGAGAAACCAGTATGTATGTTGCAAATCTGAAGTATTGTTACATAACACCAATACAGTTTCTTCCCCAGTGTGAGCATTCTGTATGTGCGTTTTGTTTACATTCTGTCACTTTCTATTTCCTCCTAAACTTTATATGCTCAAGAAAGAAACTGTAGTAACTTTAATATTGTAACCTGATGGATTGTAAACATAAAATCCTACAGCTAAGCATTTTACTCCGCAAATTTTTGTTTCAGATAAAATGATCAGTGGAATTTGAAATGTGATAATGTTTACTCTGAGTAACTGGGAAATGCAAAATAAAAATGGAAAGTCATTGTTTTATTTCATCTGGATATAAATAGTATAATGTATTTGACTTGTTGACTTAGCTGACATTTGTCTCCCTCAGTTTTGTTAATTTTACTGAACTCAATTTTTTGTAGTTGGAATTCATTTATTTTTAAATTGTATTGGCTTTGTTACAGAACACACAGGGACCCCGCATTACCTCTCTTTGCCAGAGTCATTTGTTATTTCTGGATATAGCATTTAAGGTTGTTCTGAAACAGAGCTCTTCGTCACACACACATTAAGTCGATATGATATGTAGAAGCTATGTAACATAGGAGTACTGAAGTTAACATTGTCTTTGATGGTAAATACTCATCCTCAATATGAATTTTTAACCACAATTAAGTCCACAGTGCTAGCAATGTGATATAGAACAGTGGCTTTCCAAAGGAGTAATCCTTTAAAAGCCAGCCAATCAAATGCGGAGATGCTCCTGATCCAGCTCTGCTAGCAGAAGCGAGTAGCTCACCTAATGCAGATTGAAGAAGATGACTTGGAAGCCCGAATCCCCATTAAAGAGAGTGTACAGAAACAAATTCAAGCTGGAACTGAAAAAACTATGGCTTGATCACTCAGTCCAAAACATTAAACTTAACAGTGTTTGTAGAAGCATCTTTTATACATTTTGATGACAGATTTTGTATTGGTGTTAGAAAGTTGAAAGAAGGCTTCACTAGATTCCAATCTTACAGAAGTTGAAATATCAAAAAGTATATATAACCAATTGAATACTTAACTTTTCATCTTTCCAAAGTGCTTTAAAAGAAGAGATTTCCTCCTACTTTTACAAATAGAGTTGTTTGTAGTTTATTTCTAAGAAATGTTTATTGATTTTGACTTTTTCTTATCAAAAGGAAGTGGGAATTTAACTCTGCTAAAGCTTTGCCCTATGCTACTTGAACAAATGTTAAAAAAAAAAAACCACCCAACTGCTCTTATATTTCTTATTTTGCAGAGTTGTTTCTTAAATTACATTTCATTGCATATTATAGTAGAAATAAATGCTCTGAATGGTTCTGAGTATCAGAAGATAGAGTAAGAAAAGCCCATTTGACAATGGGAGTTAGCTTACAGAAGTATTTGCAGTCTGTAACTTCTAGAGCTGGATTGGATTCACACTGAGAGGAATAAATGAGATACAATTCAAAGGCTTGAGCCCATAGGGAGAAAGATGGCCTTCAAGTAAGGAAAGCTCTCTTCCTGCCTTCCAGAATATTTTCCTTCAAGACCATTCCAAACAAATGAGTATCCTATTTTGTTCTCTAAGAGGTATGAGCAATAGGTGTCTTAGCTTCTTGATATGTGTTGCAAAGTACTGTTTATAAACAACCCACAGTCATGCTGCTACCACTTAAGCTCTTTGCCCTTGTTCGGTCTCCAAAGATGGACACCATCTAGTTAGCATTCCCTTTCCGAGTTGAGCTAATGTATTCACAGTTCAACTTTTTGTTCTTCAGCTTGAATCACATACATTGGAACCTGGCCATAGTACTTTTTCACCTACATCATGGTTCTGCTGCCTGGACCCCAAAAGACAATGCAATGGAAAGTCTCCAGCTTAATTATGTTCTCTTTTGTCTTTCTATATAAATAGCTTTAGAAATGTAGATTATTCTTTTGAAATCCATGGTAACAAATGTGAAGACTACTGCATTTTGATGTGAATAGCAAAGGAATCTTGAGGTCCAGGATCTAAAAAGTTAACTATTAATTCGTTTGCTTAATAAAGCATTGAGTGGTTTTATTTATTTAATTTTTAATTATTGAAGTTACCTTTTCAGTGGGTTGTACATGGAGAAAAAGCACTATTAGATGAAAGCAGTCATTTTATGTGACTTTTAAAACTAATACTAAAAATCTTAAAACCAGCTAAAGACAGTTCATTTTGAAAAGGAGGGAAAACCCCAAAACCCACAGCTATCACCTGCACACTAGTGTGGAAATCACTAGAAATTTTTTGAATCCGATTCTTAAACATACTTATTGAAGATAATTTGGGGGTAGAGAAAGTTTGATTACCATTCACCAAGAAGAAAACTAGAGCTAGAAGCTCATATTTCTAGAATTAAAATACAACTATAAAGGAAAAAAAAAAAAAAACAGATGCCTTAAAGGCAAATAATGGAATGAGAAGCCATTAGAACAAGACTGGCTAAAGGCAAGCTAGGCTGAAAAAAACAGAAATGCAATTAATTTAGAACCTACTCATTTTTTAAATCTACCTGTAGTTGAAGTTTGCCGCTGAAGAAAAAGGTACTAAAGTCTATTAAGACATAAGAGGTAGAGAACAGACTTTCTAAGAACTTTTCATATATTTACTATTTGCAAGTAGTATTTCTAATTTAAAACATACATAGCAATACTGTCCTCTTTGATTATGTACTTTGTGGCAGCAGTTATTTGTATATATAAGTAATGATTTTAAAATACAAATCCTACAACTCTTCTGAATTAGAGATCAACTGCATGCATTCTGAGAAATGAGTAATTTTTAAGAGAATTTCTAGTTGAAATTGTGGTCCTCAGGAGAGTTTACCTATATCCTAAATTTTCCCTGGAAATCCTGAATCCTAGCAACTTGAATATAAAAATGATGCCTTGGTTTGCACATGACCAAACAAAGGGGGCCATGTTAGGTGTTTGAGGACTTTTATCCAGGAGAGGAACACTGGCCCTCTGCTGGATTAGTTCTGTCCCAAGGATGTACCTGAAATCATTTTGTATGCCTTCACTTCTACGTATATTTACTCAAAGGAAGTTTGAGTAAGTGTGACAAATATGAGCTGGACCAACTCCTCATGTTTGTGTTTATGTTCATAAGGAGATGCAATGCTACAGGTGAGGCAGGAAAATGACAGGCATGTTGATTGCACTGTCATAGCATTTCTTATAGTAGCTAAAGAAAGGATCTGTTCATATGCTCAGGAAAAAGTTGGGGAGACTGCACCAGAAAATGTTTGTCTGTCTGTCTGCCTGCCTGCCTGCCTGCCTGCCTTCCTTGCTTGCTTGCTTTCTTTCTTTCTTTCTTTCTTTCTTTCTTTCTTTCTTTCTTCTTTCCCTCCCTCCCTCCCTCTCTCTCTCTCTCTTCCTTCCTTTCTTTCTTTCTTTCTTTCTTTCTTTCTTTCTCTCTCTCTTTCTTTCTTTTTAAGATTTTATTTATTTATTTGTCAGAAAGAGAGAGCACAAGCAGGGGGTAGCGGCAGGCAGAGGGAGAAGCACGCTTCCCACTGAGCAAGGAGCCAGACAGGGACTCCATCCTAGGACCCTGGGATCATGACCTGAGTGGAAGGCAGACGCTTAACCAACTGAGCCACCCAGGCATCCTTGCACCAGAAAGTGTTTCAAAAAATTTTTACAAAGTTGCTCTGTGGGTGATAGGGTTACAGTGGTTTTTTTTGCTTATATTTTCTAAGTTTTTCAGTTGCTAATTTTTGGAATAAGATAAAGTTATCTTTAATGGAAATATAAGTATAGCAGATTTGGGGGATGTTTGTGCTAGCTGGAATTCTTGGTTGCAGACAACAGAAATCTTCCCTGACCAGTGCAAGCAGAAAGCAATTTCATATAAGGCTATCACAGAATCTAAGAAGAATAAGGTCCTGGAAAAGAGCCGGAAATAGGGGAAGTTGGGCAGTGTTCCTTTTGCAGTCCCCAGAGGAACCCCTTCCCCTCAGAAGTCATCTCTAAACTGTGCACTGCACCCCTCCATTGCTGCAAGTGATCTCTCAGGGGCTTCCATTTTTGTGTAACTCCTTCAAGGTTCAAAGCCCTTGGCAGGAACATTTGCAGATGTCCCAGCTGTCAGGGGAAAAGATTATCTATCCTCTTTAGTTTCTACAGTGGGATGTGTGACCCTGCCTCCTATCTATTTCAGGACTCTGCCCAAAGAGTATTCTGATGCGCCCGGACCAAAAGTAAAATCCACTGAAATGTTCTGATTGAACAATACTGTGAAGGTTTCCTAATGCTCCAAATTACCCCTGTCTTAGCCTCACTCTGGCTCTCTACTACTTACCAGGAAAAGACTTCCTATGGTCTGAGTGTTTGCAACTCTCCCCGCCCACCTCTCCACCCTCCTCCACACACTCCCCACCCCCACCCCAAATTCACATGTTGAACTCTTAACCCCCAAGGTGATGGTATTATGAGGAGGGGCCTCCTAACAGAGATGACTAGGTCACAAGGCTAGACCTTCAG